ATATACGGGTACATTCGCCTAAGGTGTGTATGCACTTACATCGGCCCTGATTGGAACATAAGACAGGACCCAAAGGGTGCGATATGCTGTTGTTCTTGAACTGTTGTTGACGCAATGACACAGTATCGATGTCATCAGAGGGTTCTAGCGGTTCGAAGCGTTCACTCTGTCTGGTGTGGTGGTAGAGTGTATCCGGTACGTATTGCAACTCTGGTGCAGCTTGGTACGAGAGTTTGAGGCACTAAAATCCTAAAACCCTAAAACCCTTGCCCTCCTTGTCGTCTGGACCGTCGCACAGCTTACATATAGCTGCAAGTCATGGTGACACACACCCAATGTGCACAAGTCACATGCGCGCAATACCCACCCTACAGGGCCCATGTGATACAGATAGAGTACTTCTTCCTAGCTACAATTACTTTTATATCCTGCTTACAACTATAATACTTCTCTAGCTGCAGGTACCTCTATCCCCTGCACACACACACCCCTTCGGCGAGCCATACATCACGCCTCAACTTCTCCTCCCTTTCCTTTCCATTCCATTCCTTTCTTTCTCTTCCCTTTCACTCCACTCCACTCCTACCACAGACATCATGCGCATACTCCGCCAGGTCCGCAAGGAGACGCCACCGAGCCCGATCCAACAGGCCCTCAACCACCTTACACAACCCCACAACACCCTCCCTGTCTACTGCACCGTCAACAAACACCATCCTATCACCGATGATAAGTACCGAACTGTCCTCCAGGGACACTTCACCTGTGTCGTCTGGGCGCTCGTCTGTGTCGTCTGGGCGCTCGTCTGTGTCGTCTGGGCGCTCGTCTGTGTCGTCTGGGCGCTCGTCTGTGTCGTCTGGGCGCTCGTCTGTGTCGTCTTCCCCACACAGCACGGCGGCCGTCTCGTCGCCAGAGATTGACCTGCGCATCTGCTTGCCGTCGCAGCTGCGCAGTCGCGATGCGATGGCACACCAGGACTCGCAGACGCTTGCGTACTGGGGTAGGGAGTCAGGTAGGTAGCATGCAATGCTATAAATATATTTGCCAGAGGGCTTACGATCCTTATACCCATAGGTAGTGAACAAGTGGCATACTGCAGGCAGTTCTAAGGTGTGTAGTCGAAACTCGCAGACGCTTGCGTACTCGGGTCTGGAGTCAGGTAGGTAGCATGCAATGCTATAAATAGATTTGCCAGAGGGCGTACGATCCTTATACCCATAGGTAGTGAACAAGTGACACATTGCAGGTAGTTCTAAGGTGTGTAGCCGACCACCAGTGGAGGCGCCCGTTGCTTCGCTACCATTTCTCGTACGTTATGTTTACGATCCGATATACAGGGGAACTGTTTGAGAGCAGCTGGCGCCATGTGAGCGACGGTTATACGCACCCACAGTCATGCGTTTCGGCCGATACGGCCACAGCCCCACCCCCAATATGTGTACACTCGAGAGCGAGGTTTCGAATAGAAGTAGCACCCCTTCGTGATTCGATTGACGTATGTTCTGATATTGCAAGACCCAGGCGGCCTGTCACCAACTCGTCTGTGGCTTGTTTATTACATCAGATATGCAGCAGAATACACAGATCGCCTCAGCGTCACCCTCTCCAGTACCGAACTTCGGCGTCCGAAAATCTCCACACGGGGGCCCGCACCCGCACACTCGGCGGGACAAGGGCGAGAAAAAAGGACCGGTGCTTGCGAAGAAAGGTCGATACATTACTTCAGTGTATCTGAAGGACATAGTGCCTGCGAAGTATCTGTCCACGTGCGCGTTCCTGGGCTTCTCCGCCTCGGGCCGTCTGGTTGTATCGTATTCGCGCGAGATCAGTGAGCTGCACGAGTGGGAGGAGCGGTACAGTTACGAGGTACAGTTATGGAGGTGGGTTTCTGTGTCAGCTGTGTGTGGCGTCGCGTGCGTGGGTTGTCGAGACATCGCACCTCTGTGTACTTGTCTGTGCTGGTCTGTCCATGTGTCCGAATGTGTGTCACCATGACTTGTCTAAACTTGTCTGTATAAGTCTATACTTACCAGTCCATGTGTCCGTCTGTGTGTCACCATGACTTGTCTGTACTTGTCTGTATTAATCTATACTTGTCAGTCCATATGTCCGTCTGTGTGTCACCATGACTTGTCTGTACTT